GCTGAACTCATATTTTGATGACTTAATTCACGCCAGATTTAATCTTCTTGGGGGTAGCTTCTAAAATTAAAATACTAGCTTAGTTCCAGAAAACCCGTCAATCAGTCAGACGTGTCCCTCTCTTGAGAACTGTTCATAGAGTGCTTTCCATAGACAGTGCTCTCCCATCCTATAACAGAGCAATCGTCTTCCTGTTTGCCATGACGTGTTTTCAAGGTAAGCTGCAGAAGCAACTGGGTAGAAAGAGGTTCACTTAAAAGGGCAGTGTGAAATTTCCAGTCCTACTCTGTGCTGTAATTTAATACACCAGATCTTGGAACCAAGACTGATTCTGAGCAAGGGGTTGGTTTTATGTGTGGCTGACAAGTCTCTGCAGTAGGTGTGAGATCCTTGCAAATCTTAATACGTTCTGGTCAGCGAAGAATCTGAAATAATGAAACCCCTTCAGGTTCTTATTTACATCTCAGCTACGCAACCATATACAATGTATAATTAGTTAAAAAGAGTGTTGTTGGATTTATTCTGGCTACATGTTAGAAGACCTGTACAAGTCTCAAACCAAGACTTCAAATTAACAGACTCTTCGTTAGAATTTTTCATCCAGATCTTTGGCTGTTCAGCATTAACATTTATTTTTTTTTTAATAAGTTTACTTTCAGTCACCACTTATGGATATTCCTAAATTGCTCACTCAAGTGGAAGAGGACGTAGCCATTCTCAGGCTGTCCTTCAGGGTATATTCAGTATCAGATGAGGTAGACAACTGACACTTTTCTCCTGTGGCTCTTCACGCACAATGCCAGGGCGGGTACCTTCCCCCTCGCCCTTTGGAGGCCCGGCGCTGTCAGAGCAGGCGCACACCACGCGGGGTATGGACAGTACTCCGTTCCCCGACTCCTTCCCTGCATTAAACCTTGGAATGGCCGTAGCCTGATAGACCGGGCAAGCTGTTACCAAGTGGGAGATGTGAGGCTGACCCTTCTCACCAAAGTGCTGAAGGCAGTTCCCATGCATACCGGACGAATGCTTTGATCACACACTTATGATGTTAAAATAAAAATAATAAAATAAAAAGGACACTTACCGTTTTAAAGCAAGAATGTGTATTTGCATCAGGTGGTACATGCCAAAGGGACGGGAGATGCTACCTTGCAGCCCTGGAGGAACTATCTAAGGATGGGAATCAGCACGACTATCTGCTGCTCTCCTTCAGATCATCCTTTCTGGCTGCGGTGGCGCAGGGCAGCTCCCCTGCGGAGGGGCTTGGGCATCCCCCTGAGCGGGGAGCAGCGGCGCTGCCCTGTCTGCGGCCCACGTTCCCCTCTGGGGAGCTGGGGCTCGTGCGGAAACCTGCTTCAGGCATCTTAACCCATCTGACAGTAAATGAGAGCCTGCGTGTGTATAAGTACAGTGTATTTTGACCAGGGCCTACACAAACATTCTGCTTTTAACTACAGAGCATGGGAGACAGCTGGGGAAGAAGTAATTCTTTTCGTTTGGGTGTTTCCCGGTTGACAGGCACCGTGCCATGACGGCGCCTGCCAGCCAGTTTCTAGTCACGTAAGCTCGGGCATATCTTCACTACGCCTTTTAGTCTTTTATATATTGGGTCGACATTTTTTAATGTTTCAGAACTGTGTGTGCTTAGAGGGATTTTATACTAAAATGTGTGTTAATATTGATAACGCTGACATGTTTAAGTATCTTGCTAGACACCATATTTTGTATGTTGTTTTTCATGTTAAAGGACATACGTTTTGCTGGCCTTAACTCCATTCTTTGAAGTTCTGCTTTGTTAGAAGGGTAAGGAATGAATGTCCAATGTTTTTCATGGTGCTAAAGTAACTGTGATCAGCCTCAAATTATACAGAATAAAGATGGTAGTTCTTCAGTGCCCCGTTTGTTACTGCACGCATCATTTTTGTCTTGTTCTCCTGTAAAACTTGTCATTTTTCAAAAGTAATTTTGTGTTATATTCTGGTAATTATTGAATCTCCTGTGAAGGCTTGTACTGAAGTCTTTACAGCTTTTATTACCCCTGTTCTGATTGGAATGTCCCCATTACATTTGCTCCTGAATTAATATATGGTTATCCTGATTGCACTGATGATCCACGTCGAGACCAATGGTTTATAAACCTAAACTGCTGCCTTTGAGTCACACACTTCTGAAAACTTCGCTTTTCATTCTGGGCTTTAATATCCAACTTGCAGAACGGTTGCATTCACAAAAGGTAAAATGGAGGGAGGGAGGGAGGAAAACTGGTAGAATTATCTTAGTGGTGTTTAATAGTGTTCCGTATTTTTTGCTTCATGAATTGCCCATGTAACTCAGTGGAGCTTTGATCACTTACCGGTCTGTGACTAATTCCACCTTGACTTACCTTGCCAGTGTGAAGTGTGAAGCGTTTCCTCCCTGACAGCTTCAGTAAATCACAGTTCATTCACTGTTCCTTTGTAGTGGGGCCAGAGACTTTCCTTCCTTTAATCAACATATCTGATAATGGGGAAATATTCCCCTTCCTCCTGGGGCTGTTCTCTAGACTGCTTGTATTTCAAATTAAAATGGTAAGAGCCGGAGTGCTGTTGCCATTTGAACGCTCTCGAGGTACAAAACCTCTGCGTAACTATGTAAAACAGGAGGAGAAGCCCAGGGCGTGCATTTCAGCTGCTTTTGTACCTTTTTCAGGAAGCTGTTTTTATACCAGCACTTATCACGAAAGCCAATTAACAAGGCAAAATACGAACACCTAGAAATGTGGTTTGACCTGTATACGACTTTCAGAAAAGAAATACTGTTACTTTATACTTGAAATTATTTTATTTGAAACCCTCTCTACTGATGGACCTCCGAACAGCAGCCTGGCAGCGTTCTGCAGGTTGCTGGCAGTGAGACTTTGCACTCCTTGCAAAGACATCAACATGGTTACGAACAATCAGATTTAAATGTTACCTTGCATGGTTAATTTTTTTTAAATGTACGCATCCGTTCCCTCGGGTTGCTTTGGAGCGGAGCTGTACCTGCAGCACGCGAACCCCTGACAGGAGAAAGAGGGTTAGGGGGCTACAATCTATACGTGATGTCTGCTCCGTTCTAGTGTGGGTTTCTCTTCTGAGCAACTCTGAAACAACAACAAAAGACAGCTTGCAGTTATCTTTGAGCTGTTTGTGAGGCTTAAAAACAGCCGGCACGGTGCAAGGCGAAGCCTTTCCCCCGGCGAGCAG